AGGGTGGGGCCCAGGCGGGTCAGAGGTGACCGTCCAGCCCAGGCCTAGCTTCCACTCACGGGAGTCTGTCCCCAGCAGTGACTGCCTGGATATGACCTGGGCCCTCCCTCCTCCAGGCATCCTGAAGAACCGGGTCACCTACCCACCACCGCTACCAGAGCAGCCGCTCAAATGCCGGCTGCGGGAAAAACTGGCTGACTGCGAGCAGAGCCCGTCATCCTCGCGCACCTCCTCTCTGGGCTCTGGCGATGGCATCCGGCCCCCTGACTGTGTCATCACCATCAAGAACCCCCACGGGGAGCCGGGCCGCGAGCACCTCAACGGGGTGGCCATGAACGTGCGCGTGGGGAGCGCCCAGGCCCAGGGCTCCGACTCCGAGTGAGTGGCCTGGACTAGGGCCGAGGGGGCGGGGGGCCCCAGGTGTCCCTCTCTGGAGTGGGAGGATTCTGCCCCTGCGTGATGGACTCCCCACTGTGCCCTCACTGACCCTGCCTGCCTGATGGCTTCTTCCCACACGCAGAGGCAGTAATGAAACTTCAATTTGAACCATCAGGAAACCGTGAGGCCAACTGTCACCCACACGGGCCGCTGGGGCAGGGCCTTTGGACCACGGAGCCTGGGGGCCGCTGCCTGCCGAGCGAAGCAGGCCCCGGGTGCAGCTCCACAGGGGATCCTCCAGACAGATTTTGGCCCTTCTGCTGTAGTCAGCCCCTGTGACAAGTGCCAAAGCCACAGGTGGTCTCAAGGGAGACATGGACTCTGGGCCAGCACAGCTCAGTCCTGACTGCAGACAACCAAAGCCGTACCTCTGGCCTGGCCAAGGGGCCCCGTGCGAGAGCTGGCCAACCCTGGGTTGGCCTTGCATAGCAGGAGAGCCACCAGGCGGGCCTTCAGCTCGGCAGGGCTCAGAGATGCTGGACACGGAGTGGGACCCCAGCCCTGCAGCACCTACTGTGGCCCCAGCCTGTGGCCAGCGCCTTGTCCTAAACCGCTCTGCTGTGTTGCAAGATGGGAGTGCTTGTGTATTTGCCCTGGACTCGCAAAGGATGGAAGCTGTGGTTTGTTTGTCCTGACCTGGATGCGGGCGGTCTGTGGAGTCATCTCCTGCTGCTTTTACATAAGGAAGATGGATTGCACGGTGTACTTGAACCTGGCATGTGTGGACACAGCCTGTATCCCAGCAGTGCAGAGGTGGGGACTTCAGCAGTGAGCGCGAAACCGAGTCATTGCGAGTCTCCGTAGCTGCTTCCAGCCAGTGAGCAGAGAGGTGTGGGTGCTCCTGCTGCCCCAGCCCACGGCTCGTGCTCTGAGCACGTGTGCCCTCAGTGCCCACCTGCCCCAGGGGCGTGGGTCAGCAGGGCCACCTGGGACCAGGTCACTTGTCATGCTGTGCCACCTGTACCCACCCTGGTGCTGGGCCCACTCCGTCGGTACCGCAGGTAGGCATCCGTCTGTCCCCTTCTGCTCTGCTCCGGGGGGAACCAGAGCATTCACACGCCCCGATCCAGGCGGAGCCGTGAGGTCTTCCAGGATGTCACATTCCTTCCTGCCAATTTCCCAGCTCCTTTAGACTCCAGGCCTCTCTGAGCAGGCTGGGGGCCCCACCCCGAGAGTCTACCAATGACATCATTTTGCTTCAAATGGCCAATTGTGCACAGGGACAAAGCCACAGCCACACTGCTCAATGCTTATGGAACTGCTTTTGGAAACTCACGGAGACCGTCTGTGGCTGCAGCATTGGCACAGCATGGCCCGAGGGGCTGTGGGATGGAGCCTGGAGTCAGCCAGACACACTGGATTTCAGCATTGCCTCTGTTCTTTAAATCAGGTGCCCAAATACGTGATGTGACAGCTGCTCCCAAGCAGGAGAAACCGAGCGAGGACCAAGTGAAGCGCACACATTCCCATGCCCTGTCCACCTCGTCTGAGGGAGACGTGGGCATTGCTTGAATGACTGCTCAAGGGAGGAAACCAGACAGGGCCACAGAACAGGGATCCTGAGCGGACTGCTGTGTGCCTCACAGTGCACAGCCTCAAAGCAGGGTCTGCCACCGGGGCGGCGCCCGCTCTCCCGTTCCCTACCCTGCCTTGGCGTATTTCAGCCCTGGGATGTAACTTTTTAAATGTGATCAGAACTGTTACCAAAAAAAAAAAAAAAATTTTAAGACAGGAAAAATGTAAGCCTATTTTTATGACTTTATGGGGGAGATGAGACACTGGAGGTTTTTAACAAATGTGTATTTATTATGTGCAGAACACTGGAGCGACAACGCAGCTGAGGAGAATCTACAATAAATTAAGCGTTTTGAGTTTGTACCCCCGCTTGCTATTTCCGTCTCCACCCCGCTCAGACCGTCCCAGGTAGGCCGGCGATTCCCGGGGTGTGGCCGGACCCAGACACTGACTCGCGCCTTGTCCTCTGGCCCGCCACACGGTGGGCAGACTGGCGCAGGGCGGCCCGCGCTGCGGGAATTGTGCCCGTCACACTGGGCAGGCTCAGCCAGCGTCCGGTTTCCTCGTTCCACTCCCTCTCCGCTCCGGACCCCGGGTCAGAAGCAGACCCCTGGGTTCCTTCCCACCGCACCCCAGTTCTGCGCATCTCCGCTCTCCACTCAGATTTGAGTTTGCAGCAATTGATCTTCAGGTTCACTTTTGCTTTTCTCATCTCCGTTCTGCTACTACGCGTGTCCGGTACTGTACAGTTTCAAGTACTGTCATTTTCAGTCTTAAAACTTGAGCGGCTCACTTCCTAGTCCCGATTTCCCTGATGGGGCCTTGCAGCTGCCACTGTTTCACTGGGGGATGATGTGGCGGCTGTTCTATCTTTGGTTATTTGAGCATCTGGGTCATCTTGTGCTCAAAACCTGTCTGCTGTCTCTGGGCGCTTTCCTGGGGTTTCTGTATGTGGAGTGAGCCCGGGCAGGTGAAAAGCCTCATTTTAACATCACTTTGTTTCAGCAGCGTGTGACCCAGTTATGTTCTGACCCCTAGTTCTGGCTCCCTGGGAAACAGTGGATTCCAGTGCCAGCCCCACTGCCGAGGTCTTGACCACTTCATCAGTCCTTACCTCCCTGGGGTTCCCCTCACGCCCTAACTTCCGGGCTCCTTTTTCTTGGCTCCTGTCTCGGGCAGCTTCCCCGCTGCTGGGTCGGATTACCTGATGGCCAAAACTTGGAGAGGTTTAATTTGGCCATGGTTGGCTCTAAGGCAGGAGCATCATCGTGAGGCGTGTGGAAGAACAGAGCTGCTCCGCTCATGTGGCTGCGAAGCAGAGCAGCTGGAAAGAACACTAGAGTGGAACGCAGTTATAGAGCCCAGGGTCGTAGCTCTGCCCCACCAGCACACACCCACAAGTGTGCTAGACAAAATGCCTAAGCAACTCGCAAGCCAGTCAAGGTGGCAGTCAGGCTGAACCCTCCGTCACTTTATCTGGGAGATGGGTTTCTTCCAGAATTCTAGTCACATTTCTGTCCAACCGGAGTCACCCTCAGAAGTGTGAACAAAAGGAAAAGCAGCGGGGGTACCCATGCCATCTACCCAGCTGTCCATACTGCCAGAGTGTTGGCAACGAAATGAGCCTGAATGGCTTGGCCAGGTCTGCCTCGGACACAGTGGTCAGACTCCTCATCCCAGACAGAATGAATTTTTATTCAATGCTGTCCCATGGCCCAAACAGCCTCTGTATGTCCTGTGCTGTGCTCGCACAAGGGACCTTCCCTGGGGTGGTGTGAGAGAAGGACTCTAGAAACAGGCCTGGGGGACAGGGCCACCCAACGTGGAGAAGGCAGGGCTCCTCGAGGGGTGGCACCAGGGCCACTGGCTCCCCTGGTTTAGATGGCACCAAGCCCAGCACTGCCGACTGCCTGGGCTGCCCAGTCCTGAGTTTGCTTTCCAGGCCTCTCCTGGCAGCATGGCCCATCAGGGTGTGGGACACAGGCCCGGGCTGTCACCTGGGCCATCCTCAGAGTCCTTGGGGACTGCTGTAGCTCTGCTCCTGCCCTTCTGGAGTGTATAGGCTGATGGCCCCAAACGCAGGATTTTCCCACTGCCCAGGCACTCGTCCCCTTTGTAGAACACGGCGAACTGGAAAGAAGGGGCCTGGCTGTGGGCTGGGGGTGCCCACAGAGCGTGGAGCCTGACACTGCTGACTTGTGGCAGGGAATGCAGGAGCACGGGGCACAGGGACTTGGTGTGAGCCTCCAGCTGCCCTCATCACAGCTGACCAGGGAGGTGCCTTGCTACACATGGACAGCAGCACTGAAGCTCTGTCCTGTTCCCACTGGGCTCCACGTCCCTAGGCCCCAACTCACCTGTCCCAGGGCAAGGCCCCGCACGGCCTTCACAGCTGTCACCCACACAGTGCCGTCTTGGTTGAGGGTCAGGACACAGGGCACTGGGTAGAGAGAGGGCCTTGGAGCGCGTGTGGGCGGAGCCTCTGCCAGCGAAGGACAAGGCAGCGGCCAGAGGGCCCACGGGCTCAGCAGGACACTCCGGGCAGCACATACCACGTACCAACCTGCTCCGCATGCTGGCCCCTCACTCCTGAGCCACAGCCATGCCCCAGTCCCCTCTGTGGCAGGCACAGCACGGGCCACTGTACTCCAGAAGTCACAGAATCCCAACAGCTGGGGACCCTTTGCCCGCAGGGTCCCTCTGCGTTCCTCCTCACAGTTCTCCACCACTCCCTCCCGGTTACCTATCGCCATCTGGTGGCGGAAGCGGAAGTGGCACTCCATCATCTTGTCCCGGACCAGGGCGGCTGGTGGCTCCTCTGCGATCCAGTGCACACGGTTGGTCCGAAGCAGGTCCCTGTACAGGGCAGGGTGTTCCGGCCCAGGGGCCTGCGGACAGAATGGTGGATTATGATGGCTGCAAGCCCCCAGAACAGGGACTCTTTCCCCAAAGCCCCCTCAACACGCATCATTAGTAACAATGATCCCAACAGCAAACCCTAACTGATAACTGGCCCCAACCCTGTTTTACCTGTAGAAATTCACAGGAGGGAAGGACAGTCATGGGTGGAAGAGCAAAGGGGAGCCTGAGCCTGTGTCTATAGTCTTCCCCTCGATCCCTGCTCCAAGGACCTGGTCTTCCGTTCCCAGGAGTGTGGGCTGGGGTCTCAGGAAGGCCAAGGATCCCACCAGCGCCAAGTGACCCAGGAAAGCAGGGAGCAGAGGTGCTGGCAGCCCCGATCACCTAGGGCTGTGCTCACACCTGGGCCTGGTCTTGAGGCCTCTGCTTCCACCAGCACCTGTTCTGTGGGCCCTGCACCTGGAACCACAGCTCCTCCCAGGACAAGGCTGAGCCTCTCCCACCCATAGGGCAGGACCAGGAAATTCCTGTCCAGGGCTTCAGGTTCCGAGGTGGCCCTAGGGACTCCTGGGGACAGGCCTGTGGATCCTCACACTGCAGTCACATCTGAGCACAACTCTTCCTGGAAGGAGCTACCTCTGTCAGCAGGGGAGGTCTGGGGGCCTCGGAACCATCCCTAGCACCTGTGACAGTGTGAGGTGGCAGGTTTTTCAATCCTAGGTCTCCTGAGACTCGGGCTCCACACATCTGCCAGGAGAGGTACAGACTGTTTAGCAGTATCCTTGGCCTCACCCACTGGGTGCCAGCACCTGTTCCCCCCACCCCATCCAAGTTGTGACAACCAAACTTGTGTACAGAAGCTGCTACTGTCCCATGGCAGGGGGCAAGTTCAACCCATGAGACTCTGCACTCAGGAGCCTGGGGAGCAGGCCAGGACCACAGTGGCTCAGGGTCCTGCGTGGCCTAGCCACCACCACAAAGTATTCTGCCCACAAAGACTTCTGGGATGCTGCCACCAACAGCACTGCCCACTGGGACAACCGCCTTCCGAGTGACCTTTTCAAGTCACTTGGTTTGAGTCCCATCCTCTTTTGTAAACTCAGAAAAGCAGTATTTATAGCATTTGTATGACGACTGGAGAGCGATCAGCATACAACAGGAGTCTAATAAGCACCTTACAAAAATCTGCCTGGCACCTTGGATTTGTCCCAGGGGCTTGTGGAGGATGGTCCTGGACCTCCCTTAGTGGCCCCATATCCACTTGCTCCACCCTTCACCCCAAGGTGGGGGCAGCCACTCACCAAGAACACATCACCTTTGGTGCTGTCCTTGTCCACCACGTACCAGGGCTTGCTCAGGCCGCCGATCTTCGCTCTCTGGCCCAGGGTATACAGGAACCAACCTATAGGAAGGTTCTCTGTTACGCTAGGCGCTGAGTTCCACATGGAACACTGCAGCGCTCAAGATGGAGGGGAGGAGGCTGTGAGCCTTGAGGCCCGAGCAGGTTTCCACAGCACTGCGGCCTGCTGTAGGCTGCAGAGGCAGCCCTGACCACCCCTACCCACAGGCTACCCTTGTCTGGGCCTGGGCAGGGTGTAAGGATTGCTACAGTGACCAAGAGCAAACCGAACACCTGAAGCAGGGCTGGCTCAGAGTGCAGAGGTTGGTGTCTGCAGCGTGTGCAGGGGAGCAGGGCCCACCCACTAGGCACATTGTGGCATGAGCTGCCTACACTGCCCTGTACCCCAGCATCTCAGACCCCAACCCACATACAGGGTAGGAGCCCAGCTTGCCGCTCTGCCCATGGGCACAACCTGATGGGATTCACTGTGCCCCAGGCACAGGCCACAAGGCCTCAGCACACTCATCTTAGGAACTTCTCCGATTTCAGGAACCCCGGGTCTGCTCAGCTGCCTCTCTACCTGGCTTTTTGAGGCCGATCTCCAGGGCACAATTCCCTGCAAGACCCCGTCCGTCTGAGCCCACGCTGTCCTCCCAGCCAGCCTCGCAGGTCTGACCTGTGTGGCCAAGACACCTCAGGACACACCTCTCCCTGCGCCAGGGCTGAGTACTCGTGACTGGCCCTGTCCCTGTCCTCCCAGCACAGCGCAGATCACAGTGCCCCCACTAATAAATGCCAGGAACGCATAAGCAGCACCCACAGCGAGGCACCTTGTCTGAGGGACACCTGCACCCATCTGCCCACACAGTCTTTGGTGCCAGCTGTGACGCCAGCCCAGTGCCTCTCACCAGAGTGGAGTTTCCTGTAGTCTCTCATCACCCCTATATGCTCTGGTGTTCCAAGGTATGTGGCACTGTGACACGCACGAAGGCTATCAGCCTGCCCATGGGCCTCCTGTGTGCACCACAGTGAAGGGACTGAGCCCAGTCCAGTCCCGAGGCTAACACATGCCCCATGACCCAAGAGGCTTAGAGAAAGTGGCTGAAGCTTTGACTCACCTTTGTGTGTTCCCAGAACTGTATTATCTTCGATAGAAATAAACTTCCCAGGCCGAGGCTGCAAATACTAGAAGACAAACACCTCGTTAAAGCTACGCCAGGTGCAGAGCAGGTACCCATCCCAATGTCAGAATGCTCACCTGAAGGATAAAATGCTCAAAATTCCTTTTACCAATGAAACAGATGCCCATGCTCTGAAACGAAAGGAGGGCAACAGGCGGTGAGAGGATGGCGGGGGACCTGTGGGCACCCCCTCCAGATGCCTGGCGAGGGGAAAGCTGCCTGCCTCAAGGGAGGGAGACGGGGAGGGGCAGGGCAGGTGGGAGTTACACTCAGCTCACCAAGTGCCAGGGCCTCCCCTGCCCTGCCCACTCAGCCTCCTCCCTGGCCCTGTATGGTGTGCGGTCCGGAAGGGACCCCACGGCCCCAGATCCTCCTGTGCCCAGCCACACTGGACTCCCAGGGGGACTCTCTGGCCTACCTCTTTCTTCTGAAGCACATGCTGGAGTCCATTCTCAGCAGCTATTTTCTTTACAAAATCTTTCGTTAATCCTCCCAGAGGGAAGATGGTTCTTCTCAGGGCTTCCTGGGAAACCTGGCTGAGAAAGAAGGTCTGGTCTTTAAAGCTGTCAGCTGCTTGGAGAAGTTTTACCACTGCCAAGAGTAAAGAACAAAAGATGTTACAGAGTAAACATAATGACACTTTGCCTTTCATAACGTCCCGGTGTTTACTTAGTGACCCTGGTCTGTCAGAAGCAAAAAAAAAGTCACCAGCAGCACTGGTGTGAAGAAAACGCTCACCCCTTTACCACAAAATATACAGGGAAAATGGACTGTATATGATACAGAAATTTATTCCAGTTCACAACTTATATCACAATTTAGATGTAAGATTTTCAAAGATGAAACATCACAAGAAAAAATGTGAGGTAATAAGGAAAAAATAAGCAGAAAATGGATTCAGCCAAATTTTGGAAATTGGACAACTTTGACAAAAATTCCAGTGAACTAGTGTCAGTTGTGCAAAATATGCACACGCACACACACTGCACAGGGCTCTGAGGGCTCAGGCTGGGCACTGGGTGGAGGGCTCTGTCCTCCTGGGCACACTGTGCTCTCAGTGAGGTGGTCTTGTCTAGACTCCAGGGACACACGGCAGCTGCCTAGCAGCTCCTCTAATGCTCTTTTTGACTGTGAGGGTTGTACGAGGCACATGTGACTGTGGTTCTGAAGAGATCAGTCCTGCTCCACCCGCTACAGAGTCTCCCAGATGGGAACTGCCAGGTCTCCCACGCTCGTCAGAGATCAGGGCCCGAATCAGAAGCGTCCACACCGCCCATACCTAGCGCTAAGGGACACCTCACAAGGTACACACAGAGTACGGCACATGGGTGACACCCACAGTATGGTGTGTGCAGGGGACAAGAGGCGGCACTCACTCGCATGGGGCGTGGCCCTCCACCTGCTCCGGCAGTGCACTCTGCACGGGGCTCCCAAGTCCTCCAGAATGGGAGTTTCTGAGGTGAGTGTGGTAGAGTGGGGAACTGCGCGGCAAGTCTGAAAAGAGGCTGCATCACACAGGGAGAAGCAGATGGCTCCTCCCTCCTCTTCCTAACAAGAGGCGCAGCTTTCTTATCTGGGCAGAGAGGCGACATAAGCACTCCAGCACCCAGGCACGCTCAGAGCACCTGACAAAGTGCACTACCACTGCCTTCAAAACAGTTCAGTGGCTTGGGGAGAACTCGGTGGGGCCTGCTGGCTGAGCGGGAGTAGGGACGAGGAAGCCTGGCTCTGTCACCTGGAGTACTCAGGTCAGTGACGCCACCCAAGCCTCGGTCTCCTCAGGGAAATAGGGGACAGCGGCACCGAGTGGAAGGTATGGTGTGAAGTCATCATCCTGGAGGACGCTTTCTTCAGCTGGGCTCCAAACTCAACTCAGAAATGCATGGTGACACACAGGGAGTGCTGCCCTTTACCACAACACAGCAGACGTGACTAAGCCCCACTTTTTCACTCAACAGTTACATGAATTCCTCCTTTCTAGACACGAATGTACGCCAGGTCAAATCAGTGACATCCCAGCTCACGTCGGTATTTCTGCCTCCCCAAGCCGGGAAGCCTCGCTTTCTGACATTTAGGAAAGAGCACTGCTGCCTGCTAGGCCCCCTCACCGTTCACACCTGAGCTCACACCCTTGGCTAAGCCTAGAGCCCCCAAATGTTACTGTCAAATATTTCCCGAGTGTGTGTTTAGGGCTTCAAATTACCAACACACAGCGTCTAAACCTAGATCAGAACTCTTGAACTTCCCCTAGTCCTGGCCCTGGCCCCTGACTGCAGCTTTCCTTATGCCTAATCACAGGCCTTGGGAAAATGACCTTGCACCTTTCAAACATGAGCCCCCCAAAAAACCAGTGCACAGAAATGGGTGGCTGGTGCACCAGACCTGACTCCTGTTTTTCTCAAATTATTTCACTTTGCACACAAATAATTTTGACCTGGACACTGGAACTTACAATTTCTAACTTCAAATCGGTTTCTGAAAAGCCCTTCCGGCTTCTTCACGTGCTTCTGCTGAAAGACTTCTTCATCTTCCAGCGAGGTTCTTGCATAGTGGCCTGTGGCAACAGCATCTGCTCCTGTGAGGTTTTTAAAAACACAAGGAAATGATCTGCAAGTCGAACTCACTGGACTTGGTGTGCGCGAGCCAAAGGCATCAAAGACGCCAGACACCCACCCTCCCCAACCCAGAGACCAAGCTCAGCGAGCTGCCTTCAACTTTTAACTGGAGTGGGTAAACCATATGTCTCTAAGAGCCTTTCCGCAGTAATATCTATTCCTTCACCCATTCTGGCTCAAGTCATCAGATGTGTGCACAGGTTTAAGTACAAAAAGCCCATTTCAGAATTCTTACAATACTAAGGAAAATCCAAAAACTCCACAGTGCTTGACACTGGGAGGACATGAGATGAACTCTAATGCCGCAGCTGCAGCAACAGCAGCACTGGCAAAGCTCATGTGGTAAGACAGGAGAGTGCTCAGAACACTAACAAGGGACAGGGATGTATATGGTGGCCCTGTCTTTATTCAACAGAACAAAAAACACACATCTATTTTTTTGATTCTGGGAATGAAATTATAGGTAATTGTATCTCTCCTTTTTCACTGTTCAGTAGTTTTGTACTTTCTTTAATAAATATGTATTATTTTATCATGGTGAGGGACCATCCAACACATTTAATTTATTCTGTTCACAAAATGCAAAACAAAGAACCAAGGAAACTGCAAAAGCACACACTGGTCCATAACATTTTTGTCATGTGAAATTTCAGCATTGTGGATATTCAGTATGGAAAGGGGAGCAAAACTGATCGGATAAGTAATAAACCAGACTAACTCAGTGCACAACAGGAGGCATGGTAAGAACTGGCCCTGGGGATCAGCTATTTGAGAAAGGACCTTCAGGAACACACACATCTTGATTCAGTTTCTAACAGAAAAAAACGTACATTAAATGTTACTTCCCTAGAGCACAAGCCCTCAGACTACAAGGCACATAGGACTCTCTTCCAGGAGAAGCCCTGGGATCTCCAGAGACTACATTTCATGCTGCACTGTTTGTGTGCTCAGTGCAAACTTGGAAGCGCTTGCTCACTGCATAAATCCCTTCCAAAACATCCCACAGGCAGCCACCGAGGGCTCAGAGAAAGCAATGCTAACAGGGACTTCGCACCCACAAAGGCAAGTACTTCCTAAAGAGCTGTGTGTGCCACTCCCAGAAATCCTTTTCCTGCAAGTCCCAGCCCTGCCAAGCTCTGGTTATGGCGAATATAACCCTAAGGCGCGCCTGACCACGGCCAGGATGACCCACAGCAATCTCACTGTTCATCAGGGGACATATTTCCAGATGCCCTGCAAATCAAAATTAACCCTCGCTCCACCTGTCTGTCACTTTCCCTGAATGACAACCATGGCCCAGCCAGGCAGACCACACCCCTTCTGGGCCAGCTCTGACTGCACAGACCCTGACAACAAAAAGCAGAGCACTGGCTCTGTCACCCACAGGGCGCCTAGGTTCCCAGAACATCTACAGCACTGGGGAGATTTGACAAAGAAGAATGGGATGTCAAGCATGCAGACAAAATCAAGAAAGGGGACATTTAAGAGCAGACACAATGTACATATTTGGTGGGCAAGCAACTCGTCAGCTGTGAGAGCCCCGACCAGGCCCCAAAGACAGTGCCACACCCAGGACGGAACAGAGACCCAGGATCCAGAATAGACAGACCACAGACCTGTTCTCTGGACAAAGCAGAAACTCATTTTCAGAAGCAGGAAAAAGGTGTCAGCAGAACCAGGAAGCAGGATGAGTAAACCTGTGCTTCTTGAGCCATGACCTCGAGCTCCTGAGCCTTCCCCTAAACACAACCACATCTGGAACCAGAGCCCCTGCAGCAGAGCAGAACCCGTGGAGGGGTGCAGGGGGCTGGTAGGGAGCCAGGGAGGGTCTAATGGGTCGCAGCTCAGCAGGACGTGGGGACACATGGCTTCCTGTGGGTTGCAGCACTCTGCACGGCACCAGCTCCCAGTTAAGGAGCCTCCTTGTATGCCCCTAGGCCCCGGCTCCCGGCCCAATGCTGTCTGAGCAGGCAGCAGACTCCACTCGTGATCTTCCAGCACTAGCCAGGCCTCCGAAAGTTTGCTGTCTCTCGCCTGAAGTTCTGCTCTTCCTGGTACTACACACACTTCAGAGGCTCATCTACTTGTCTTTCGCTCTGTTTTGCTGATACCTCATTAAGGTCATTAATATTTTACCATCAGAATCTTATTTTCTCAAATCTCCTCTTCCTGGGACCCTGTCACCTTCTGACTTCAGCAGTGACCCAATGAACTTTTCCCTGGGACACCTGAAGCCTCTGCCAGACAGCACCCTCTCCTCCTGCCCTTCACTAGAAAGTGCTTACAAAGTACGACTGCATTCAGTGCTCCCTTTCCTTGTGAAACACAAAACTATTTCCGAGGTTTTGGCCTCTGGCCATCCTGGAGAACTGATGATTTTTAAAAACAAATGGAGAAACCCCACTTCCTTACCAAGGTTGTCCACAGCGTAATGAAAGAAGCAGCTGAATTTGATGTGCTTATTGCAGACTATGTCAGGGTTGGGAGTCCTGCCTTTCTCATACTCGTTCAAAAAATCGCTGGAATAAAAGAAAAAGCCTTTCAGTTCTAAGTGTGAAACGTTCCTCAAAAAATACACTAGCTAAGTTACTTGTGTAATGTAGCCTTCCACACTGTCATGCCAAAACTAGAACCTTTTGCAACACAGGACAGTCCTGTATCAAGCTGTCTTCTGTGCTTCCACCAAACACGTGCCTAGCACCTGTTGGACGCACCATCTGACTCTGTGATAAGCACTAAACCTGGGCAAGGAGCAGGTGCTGTCCCCGTTGCTGGGGCTCAGGAGCCATCTACCCTCACCCTGGGGCCACACTGCACTCCTGCCTCCCAGCCTCCGGTACAGGAGGGCTCATGGGAGGATGGAGCTCAGCTGTAAAACAGCAGGCATAAAACCTCCAAGGCTCTAGTAGGCCTTCTCAGTCCCAGCCTGGGGACCCAGGTGACCAGGCAAATGCACCAAGAAAACTCTTCTGATGTGACAGACACATGCATCTGAGGACTGGCAGCCTCCTGGGGATACAGTGTAGCTGGTCATGCTGAGTCGGTGGACTTCTGTCCTAGCAAGATGGACGCTGCCACCTCAGCAAGGTGAGGCACAATCCTACAGTCCAGAGGAGCCACACCAAGCTTGGCCCAGGAGTGTAAAATCAGGGTTATTTCTAGTATGTGTGGTTTCTTCATTAAAGTTTTCTATTAATCAACAAAGGCCAAAAAGCAAGCAAAAAGACCATGCTGACTGGGAAGGTTGCATTAAAGAGACAGAACAGGAATCTGCACCAGGCTGCAGGTTATTGCAGGCAAGGCCAAACTATTTTCTATCATTTTTCCCCTCAAGGCATAAAAACCTGCCTCGCACCAGATGTGTGTCATTGTGTGAGACTGCTACCCTTTCCTTTTTCCTTTCTCTCTCTCTCTTTTTGAGCAGTCCTGGGGATTGAGCCCAAGGCCGACCCACTGAGCTAATCTGTGGCCTTTATTTTTATTTTTTAAATTTTGAGACAGGGATGCATTGTTCCAAGCCAGAAAGAAACACTTTGGAGATTTCTTCATATTCCATCTGGCTGAGGGCCTGCCTCAGCTTTTCAGCAATCATTTCATATAACTGCACTTGCTGCCCCAGGTGCAGACCGATGATGCTGAAGCAGTCATAGATCCGATTACTATGAAAGTGATTCAGGGCTGGGGATTTAGCTCAGTGGTTCCGACATCTGCCTCGTAAGTGCAAGGTCCCAAGTTCAACCAATAGTACCAAAAACAAAACAAAACAAATAAAAAACCCAAAAAGGGGCCAGGGATTTAGCTCAGTGGTTCCACTGTCTGCTTCACACAAGTGCAAGGTCCCAAGTTCAATACCTGGTACAAAAAAAAAAAAAAAAAAAAAAAAAAAAACTAATTCATCTAAGCTTGCAAAGCATAGGCATGGTGCCAATCACCTCGCCATAGCCTTGTCTGTCTTGTGGAGTGATTGTACTAGTTGTAGGCAGCTTATCACTTTCTTTCACTTTTTCTACTGCTCCCTTGTGAGCACCAAAGACTTGCAAAGTTGTCCAGGCTGGGCTGAAACTCACTATCCTCTTGCCTCAAGCCTCCCATACCATTGGTTTTAGAGCCATGTGCCACCACACCACCCAGAACTTCTTTTTAATTGGTGAAAGCTGTCAAGAGGTTCATTAAGCTTCAAACTACCTAAAACCCACTCTCTCTCTTCGACATCTTTCATACAATCATAGACCCAATAAACTTTCTACACAGGCATCGAATAAACATTGAAGAGGTAGCCAGTGTACCAGAAGACAGCTCCTGGCAGACCAAGAGAAGCCATGTCAGGGGGCACTAGAAAAGACAAGGGTGGGGAACAGCCTGCCTGTTCTACTAGAAATAAGAGAGGCTGCTCCTGTGTTGAGTGAGAGAGATGGCAATTAAACAAAACATCTAGCTGGACACAGACACGTACTCCTGTAATCCCAGCACTCTGGGAGGCTGAGGCAGGAGGATCACAAATTTAAGTACAACCTTGGCAACTTATCAAGATTCTGTTTCAAAATAAAAAAAGGGATGGGGATATAGCTCACTCCTCAGTACCACAAAAATTGGTTAATTAATACTATCTGAGTGGAGTGTGGTGGCACACCCTTTAATTCCAGCACTATGAGAGGCTGAGGCAGGAGGATTGCAAGTTGAAACCCCAAGGAAAGACTGCCACGAGGGAAATTCTGGGGCTCAGGCCTCTACCAGGGCTTCCTGAGGGAGGGCGGCTGAAAACTCCCACAGTCTCCAGCACCTTTGCTGAGGCAACACCCGGGCTGCAAGTCTGTCTGCTTGGCCAACTGTGGCCATCCTTCCGTGGGCAGAGTCATGGTACAGGAAGCCTTTTCCACACTGCAACCTGCACTCACCTGAACACTTCGTTCCAGTACTCCTTGACGTAGGACACCTGATGGAAAGGGATGTCTAAGACTCGGCAGACTTTGTAAGCATCCTCGCAGTCTCTGTCGGCGGCACACACACCGTGCTCGTCCAGGGAGTCCCAGTTCTTCATGAACACCCCTGTCACCTGGTAACCTGGGGAGGGCAGAGGTAAACTGGTCTACTGATCCACCTCAGGTAAAAAGGCAGCGCTTTCTGTGCCTAAGCAATCCCTAACACACCACCTCTCCATGCCTCTGCTCCTGGCAGCCCATGACTTGCCACGAAGCCCTCAGGGCTCAGAGTGACACCCTACTGCCAGCCTTCTGGGCACTCCTTTCCCTAGGGCCCCACTGTGCTCTGCAAAAGCCTTGTCACCACAACACAGAATGCACTGAGATTCTGCCTGAGTCCCCATCTTTGGGTTCCCAAAACCTACATCAGCACAAAACCGAGCAAGAGGGGGAGCGCGTAGCAATGCGCGCCGATCGGCTGAAAGGTCAGCTAGAACCAAATATGTCAATGCAAATAAAAGTACCATTCAGTTATTAGAAAAGTAAACTCACTTCAAAAATTCCCAGTTACTACGATGTAAGTAAGAGTTTAGGTTATCAGGTATCGAGACAATTAAAATTCTGGAGACTTTATCCCCAAGGTTGTAATTCAGTAACAAAGCCCATGCTTTGCATGCCCTGGGTCCAATCCCCTGCATCAAAAAATAAAACAAAGTAAGAATTTTTTTATTTCAAGGGCTCTACCACAAATATATTTAATGACCCACTTTTCCTCTTTTCTACTGTGACAAATTACGCGACCAAATACTGAAGGCCAGCAATAGCCTTATTATATCACCTTAGCAAGCTAACTCAGGCACCTGCCTTGTATGAGAAATCTGTTTCCTCTGTAAGGCTGAATTTAAGGAAAGACAGGGCATTTTTGTTAAAGGAGTCTTAAAACAGTATCCTCAGGGCCGGGGATTTTAGCTCAGTGGTTCCACCATCTGCCTCGCAAGCACAAGGTCCCAAGTTTGATCCCCGGAACAAAACAAACAAACAAACAAACAAACAATCCAGTGCCCTCAAACTCTTGCCAAAATGAACAGGGACCAGCCCATCCCGGCAGGTGTTCGGACCCCTCCCTCCTCTACACACCAAAGCACCTGGGGCTGCTTCTATTACAAATAGAAGAAATGGCACAGCTGTCTGGCCAGTGTCCCCTGTAACTCACTAGAGCTGGGAACTCAAGGGCCAGAACTGTGCTTAATCTGCTCCCAGCACTTAGCACGGTGCCCAGCACAAAATGGCAGCTAAAAAATAACTTGTACAGTGAGTAAAACCTACACACAGAGCTCCCACTGCCTCGTCATTTTTCTAAGTGAGAGATGTGACTTGCTCACATGAGCACAGGTTGGTTCCTCAAACTCTCTAGGGTGCATAACCCCCCGCCACACACACACACACAAACACACACCAAGATCCCTCGGAGCCAAATGAGAGTGCTGTGCTTTTTTCCCCTGCTGACTCCACTGGCTCCCTCCATGGAGAAAAATCCAAGGCAGGCTGCACTATGAAATTTGTACAGTCGGGAGGCAGAGAGTAAAAAGACGAAACTGGCAGACACAGTCAGTCTTTGGCATCACCCAAAACACCTAGTTACATCCCTTGTCAGTGCCCTTCAAGGGCTCTGAGTTGATCCCCAACACAGCTTCAAGTCCCTAACACCTTAACAGCGTCCACGGGCTCGCACCTCGCCACGCTGCCAGCACTCTCTATCTGCTGGATCTGCCCAACCGCTTTCTGCTCACCTCAGGCCTCCAGCCCAATCTTCAGGCTCGGCTCAAACACCACGGCTAGGACGCCGGCCCAGGATTCTCCCTTCCTCTACACTCTGTACGCTTACCGTTTGCCAGCCTTTCCCCTCGGCACCTGCTATTACACCTCTCATGATACTAATAAATTATTACTGTTCTCCGAGTTCCTCGTCCGTGCTAGGCATCGGGGTGAACCTCTGAATATACAGTGTGTCTTTTACTCCTTCTAGCCACCCTGTGAGGGCGGTATCATCCCACTACAGAACTCGCCTAAGTTCTGCAGCCCGGGTTTGCAACTCTGCCATTATGGCGCCTGCACCAAAGGTGGCCGACAGAGGAGACGGCGGAACTTTGCTGTGTGCACTGGAGGCCTGACGATGAGATGGAGGACTTGGCTTACCGGCAGGTAGTCCCTGCTGAGGACCCCAAGACCTCTGAGCACCTATGGGGCTCTGCTTAGATGCCAGGAAAAAAAACGCAAACGCTTCGGGGGACAGTTTGTGATCCAGAGAACTCAGAAGGCAGGCGACACAAGGTGAGCCATCACTGCGACGGCTCGGGGCGGGGGCGTGGGACCCGCAGGAGCGCGGCGGTCAGGTGGACGCCC